TAAATAGGACCTCTGTTTATTTCTTTGGGATGGTGTTACTAGGCATGAGAAGTGCCTTGTGAAATATTTTTAGCCCCAATTCACTAAGAAAAATGTTAAGGATTGGTCCAGGATGATTGCTCTATGCAAAATGTACTTTTATTTGGGACTTTTCAAGTTATACCCAGTGTAAATTTATTTGCTATCATGCTATACTTTAGGCATTGTTTAAAAGACATCATGAGTCTCCATGGATCAATTCAAAAGGATGGTAGCATTTTTTCTTCTTGCAGAAAAGAAGGACCAATGTTGTAGATACTTGTTTACTTCCAGAAAAACTCTGGAAATTAGCTTCTACGGACATCATGCAATGTTCATTTTAATATTTCTACCAACCTTCTGTATTATACACACTACAAACATTGATGGGGAGTCATTTTACCTCATTCCAACAAATATATTGAGTGAAAAATACATAAAATGGAGAACAGGTTCAAATTTGCCTTTTAGAGGAGGATATAAAATTTTCTAGCCCAGAGACTTTATGAAGCTTATAACAATAGCAGGGAGATCCAGTGTTCAAAATATCTCTTCCTCAAGTTGTGAATTGCTTTCAGTAGGTTGCAGTCATTCAGAATTTCCCACTCTGTTACATCCCATTTTTGGCACTTGTCACAGTCAACTCCCTGCCTTATCATGACTTTTCACTTGTTCATCCCCAGACTTGGTATGTACAATCTACACCTTTTTGGCTATGTTTCATACACCAGACTGTAGTTCTCAAAATGTTTGGTTCTTGCGTTACAGGACTAACTTTGTCCAAAAAATGATGGGACATTCTTTTTGCCCAGTCAGTGTATGTCGCGGTACTGAAAGTGGTAAAAGCTGAGCGCTGAAGTGTGATATAATTCTAAAGATGCGGGAATGAAATGATGTGATCTGCGAGCTGGAGATGGGAATACGTGAGATTGAAGGCAGTGCGTGAGATGGGAAAGAGAAGAACGAGTGCATCAAGCAGGGCAGAGTTTAGACTGAGAACACAGTCCTTGGTTAAATGCAGTGGTGTGATGAACACGGGCAACGAGTGGGTCAAGCAACAACCGTCTACTCGATATAATCGAGGGACAAGCCCCTGGGCCCTAGTGGCAAGCTCGCGCTCATACAGCTCAATTTGTGCGTTTCGCAAGTGGCAGAACTCATCGCAGTGCAGAGGAGTGATGTCGACGGAGGTGGTGTTGTTGGCTGCTGCGAGGTCGCGGGCAATGGCACGGCGGGAGCGTTTATATGGGGCGGAGCACTACCCATACCTATGTATATGCGCGTCAGAATAGGGTTAGAAGAGATGAGAAAGGGAAAACGTACCAGAAGCCCATGTCGGAGAGCGCACCTCCGGATTTATGTAAGATTGCTGTATGAAGAGGGAAGTCTGGTATCAAGCATCTTGGAGTGTAGCTATAGATGATCGATGATCGATATCGATGATCTTTGAGTGTGGGCCATGGATGAACAAATTCAAGTTGCGACGTTCGGCAAAAAGTCATCCGTGTCGCACGCCGTTGTCTCCTCGCTACTGAACAATCAGACATTGATGAGACACTCCGCCAAAACCTAGAAATTCATCGCACCTCGAAATGGAATTCCAGCTGCTCAAAACGCGGACGTTCCGCCTCCCAGCTCCTCAGGCTGCCATGCTCAAACCCCGGTAAGTTGGCTGGGTAACCGCCAGAAGTTGGAACAGGCGCTCTGCCTTATCACTGACTTTGAATTCCAACGTCAGGCCTCATGCACATGAGTCGTAGAAACGCTACTTACTTAGATCTTCTACCGAAAGTCAACCAAAAGTACTAGTCTGTCGTGGGAAGATCTGCCGAAATCTTTGCTCAACCAACCGTGACGATTTTCATTCCCACCACAACAGTCAATGGCGTCTTTCTCCGACTCGCCTCTGGAAATTATCGCGGAGATAATCGACGCTCTTCAGGATGATATTGCCGCCTTGGAGGCATGCTCTCAGACATGCTCACTGCTTCTACCATTGTGCCGCAAATACATCTTTCGATCCATCCATATCAGTGCTCGTTCCTACCCACAAAGAAGCCGTCCACGCCTCATCAAATTATTCGGAATTCTTCTCAAAAACAATCCAGGAATTTCAGATTTGGTTCGGAATTTCGTATTCCGTATGTGTTCGCCTGATCTTGAAGATGATGAGGTGCCCTGGGTACTGGGAAGGCTTCACCATCTTCAATCTTTCGAGCTGGGGATTGGTGACCCTACAACAATAGAGTGGAATGCATTACGCCAACCCCTTCGAGACGTCTTATTGCGTCTAATCCAATTGCCTTCCCTCTCCCGCTTGCGTATATCATACATCTATGATTTCCCAATCACTGTCTTCTTTCCTTGCATGAATCTAGCCGACCTCACCTTGACCTGCATCACAAAACCTACTATGGCGGTGAGATATGAGGAAGATATTTCTGCACCGGAAGCCGCCCCACAGCTTCAGTCATTTGCTTTCCGTCGGGACCGTGGTTCATATACAATGTACCTTCTTAACGCCAGACGTCCCAATGGCGTTCCTGTTCTAGACTTCAGTAAAGTTCGAACGTTGACCGTCGAGGCGGATAGAGAGCAAGATTTGGTGGCAATCCACGCATTGATCAGGGCCACAAAGCAGCTTGAAACTCTGAAATACACAAGTAAGTACGGGGACCTCAACTACGTATAAATCATACCTCACTCACGATTTTAGCTGACATAACCCAGGGATACACAGGTTTTGCTGCATCGATGAACGCGTCATCCCTGTCAACGTTGAGGACGTTGCGCCTTCAGCATGACATCGAAGATGACATTCAAGACCCTTTGTGTGGAATCTGCGAGGAACTTAGCATCATTTCGGGGCGCAACGTGATTGAAGAAATATTCCTGGACGTCGTCGTCCAAACTGACTGTCAGTGTAAAACCGGAAGTGAATGGGGGGGATTGGATGCTGTACTCTCGCGTGGTTTCCCCAAGCTTCGCACCGTTTCACTCGACGTCGAAATCTGTGTTTTCGCACCGTCCTCACCTCAAGCTGCGTTACAGGAACAGGTAAACGAGATTCCGAGGAAGTACTTTCCATGGCTGTCCAGTAACGTACAAGTAACGTTCAAATTTTCATCCGACGTGTATTGGGTTTAAATACTCTATTGTAAACATAACCCCGTCTTTTTTGCCACTGACGTCGTCCAAAACACCCTCAGAAACCAGAATTTATTGCACATCGATCACACCGACCTGGAGGTAATTTGATTATTCTGTTGTAAATATGATAACCCTGTCTTTCTTTTTTTCAATGCCGTCGTCTAAAAACACTCTGTGATTTTCAGAATTCAGAACTAATCGCCGAAACAAAAGGTGCTCTGGCAAGTTGGTCGTTTTATTCGGATTGAAATTATAATGAGGTAATGAGAATGCTAGCAACGAACATGATAGATGACAGATGCTTTGTGAGTGTAAACGAAAGGAAAATCTACAATAATGTGCAAAAGGAAAAGATGAGTTACGACCCTGTCCAACCACATCGGTATCAACAGGTTTTCATCGCGACCATAAGTAGAGAGAGAGAGAGAGAGAGGAAGAGAGAGAGAGATTAGAAGTAGCAGATATCAAAACAAAAGAAAAAAGAGAGAGAAATCCGTCCACATAGCTAGATCAAGTTCATACCAACCCTATCCCCCCTATCCCCCATTCTCAACAGGCGTCCCAGCCCGAATCAACCCCAACTCCACATCCCCCTCAACCCTCTGATCCACCACCCCCGTCCCCGTCCCTCCTGACACAACACCAAACAAAGCCTTCAAATTCCCCACACTCCCACTTCGACTCGCACTAACCGGCACACCCTCATCCACGAACCGCACAGACCGTGAAGGCGACGCTTCCCTGGTAGGCGGCCTCGAATGCAACGCCCGAAGCGAGTCGATCCGTTGGTTGCGTAATGAGCTTTCTGCCGTCCCCGGACGGGTGTGCGCTGCTGACGAGGGCGCAGTGGATGGTCGTGACATGCGTGATGCTGCCGTACCCAGTCTAATCTTCCCATGTCCGTGTCCAGTTTTCTGCGCCAACGCAGGCTGCTGGCGGCCCCTCGTCTCCCCAACACCCGCAACACCAGGAGGAGCCTGGCGGCCCCTCGACTCCTCATTCGCACCTGCAGTCGCCCCAGCAGCAACCATAAAGGGCATACCCTGCGCTTGCCCAGTCGAGTTTCGTCGATGAATAGATCCCCTACGTCGAGCCGCCGCCCGAATGGAGAATTTGCGTGGTTTCTTCCTCCCGTGCGAATGTGTCGACCCCTCTGCATGAGCATGCCCGTCTGCTGACGTTTCCTCGCCGTGATCATGTTCTTGGCCATCTCCTCCGTTGCTCCTCTCCGAAGCCCACCCTTCGTCTTCCTCGTCAGTGCCCTCCTCAAACACCAAATCCGTCGTCGAATGGCGCGCATGATCTGCCGCACCTCCAGAACGACCTCCTCCGCGCGTGGGGGACACAGCATGTGCCAATTTTTGCCAATCCTTTGCGATAATCTCGCCAGCGCTGTGTTGGAGATCGTGCAAAAAGGCGGCCTTGCTCCCTGCCCCGTGGGGGGCCTCTGGGTCGTCGTCCAGGACCGTAACTTCAACCTATAGGGCGAGACAGGGTCAGTATCAGAACCAACTAACAAAGACACGAGAAAGAGGGGGAGGAAGACGCGAAAAGGAGGGTAGACGGTGTGTGAAGGGGAAGGAAAGAAAGATGACGACGCAAGAGTTGGGAAAAGGAAAACTCTGCATGAAGGGAAGAAAGGAAAACCACATGGTCAATCCCAATACCAAACCGGCCAACGGAGAGTGAAAGGAAGGGTGAAAGGGGACAAAAATCGAAAAGACATTCCGCGCAAGAATCGGAAATGAAAGCGGACAAGATCCAGAAGATCGCAAGATCCAGAAAGAGTGGAAGAAAACAAGAAAAGAGAAAAGAAAACAAGGAGAGTGAAAAGTGAAAAATTAACGCACATCATCCCCCGCCTCCCTCTTCGTCTCAACAACCCTCTGCCTGCCTTCTCTCCACTCCATCACTATATCATCCCCATCCGGTGGGACTTGCTTTCTGTAATCTTCTCGAGGTGCTTGCCGCCTAAAATGTTTCTCCTGCGAAAACTCCCCAGAACCTTGCCGTGGAGGATACTCCCAATCCCCCTTATACTCGCCCACATCCACACTCCGACTAACCCCCAACTCCTGACTCTGCCCCAACTTGGTACCATCATCGCTACTCCCTTCTTCTCCTTCTCCCTTCTCACCAAAGTCGTCCTCGTCCTCCTTCTCACCCAAATCCTCACCGTCGCCCAAAACGGCGGTACTCCCATCACTCTTCTCCTTCATCCCCATCCCCCTCTCCAAGTCCTCGTCGCTCCTATCCCGATTGATAACGATATCCTCGGGAGCGGTGACCCTAACCTGGGTCGTCCAATCAGGGATACTAGCATGCCTAGACCACGTCCTCGACACCGAATGCACCCTCCTTCCCAAGGAGAAAGAGGGTATGGATAGGCCGTGGACGGCGATGGAGCATAGGACCATGAATGCCACGATGGGTTGGATCGTTTCTTCCAGGAGGGTAATTTGTGCAAGGGAGTGGTGGGTAGGGGAAGAATGAGATGCTTCGAGGGATTCGCGGATAATTTGGGTTGCGAGCGTTGATATGAATATCCCGCCTATCGTCATCAATCAGCGTTTGGTGAAAAGAAGGAAGGAAGAAAGCGCACCAATCCCAATAGGCCCAAAATGTCCACAAAACACCGACTCTCTAAAATTCTTTATATCCGGTATCCACCTATAACACGCAATAATAACCGGTATCCTCTTCAACAGAAACACAAGCAACGCAACCACAATCAACCTCCACACGCTCAACGTCAACGCCGCATCCTGGAATTTGTTAAACGGCATCCAAGCACCTACGAAGATAAACGCAGCGACGTTGAATAGAGTATCAATCACGCTTGAGAACACCGATTCTTCCGTTTGGCGATTAAAGAACCCGTCCCAGGCAAAGGCGGTGCCGCAGAAAAAGGCAGCGAGGAGGTCGTCTGAGCCGAGGAGGGTCGTTACGCCTATGGTGAGCATGGCGAGGGAGACGTATTGGGCTACGTAGGAGTGTCGGTCGATTAGGTCGTGGCGTTGGCAGAATTTCATGAGGTGGCGGAAGCTGAAGCCCAAGAGGGAGCCCAGGACAGCGCCGAGGATGATCTGGTCTGATGGGATGAGTAGGTGCGTGGGTTTTTGGGTAAAAAAGAAACTCACAAAGCCAGAGAATGAGGAACCAATCACGTATAGCCGCACCCGTAGAAGCGTCCAAGGTGAGGTAGAGGGCGATGAAGAGAAAGGGGAACGCCGCGCCATCGTTACACCCACTCTCCGCCGCCAACAAGTGGCGAATATGGGCTGGTACGTGTTTGTCGGCCCATTTCCCACCTACGACTGCCGCTGCTAGGATGGGGTCTGTAGGTGTGAGGCATGCGGCTACTGCGAGACTTGATAGGAAGTTTAAGCCGGGGATTAAGGCGCAGATTAAGCCTGCTGATACGAACCATCCCTGATGGGTGTCGCGTGCGTGAGCAATTAATGAAAAGAAAGCCCAGGGCAAAGGGGACGAACCCAAGTCATGACAGGGACGAGGAGGAAGAATAATGATTTCCAGTGTCGTAACATGTAGGCTTTTGGAAGCTCGACTCCGATAGCGAATACGCCTATGGCGAGTACGACGCGGGTGAATTCGAGGGTGATCATGTTCGTCGCTTCCGTTGATCCGTTTCCCCACGCGCGAGGGTTGAATATGTCGAGTGCATAGGGACCTTTACTCCGGGTAAGCTTTGAGGCTGGTTGGAGGAGAGGAGACGAACCAATGATGATACCGAAAATAAAAGCCCAACATGCTTCTCCGATATACAACTGCTCAAGTGAGTGGGATGTATGAGAAGAGGGAGAAAGAGGCTCACTCTTTCTCGTAAAAAGAGGGAAAACATGCCAAACTACGTCTCTGTCAGTTGCGTCCATCCAGAAGCCATTTTTCAGACGCACCAAAACGATGAACCCGCCGAGACAGGCATAGATGATATGGGGAGTCGTAACATCAAACTTTGCAGAAAGGAAAGTCAGTGTACACCACTAGACCATATATACATACCAACGTACAGGATGAAAAGTCATGACGTCGTGATGGTCGACGCAGTCGTGCACGTAGGCAAATGGCGATAATCCCTCACTCAAGCAAGGGCCAGGGGGTGCCGGCGGCAGAGCAGAAAGGAGAAAGAGGAGAGTCGACTTGAAATCTCGACTCTTTAGAAAAAATAGAAGAGGGTCGTTAAGGGAGGTGGAGTGGAATGAAAAAGTAGCATAACCGCATGAAAGGTTTTACTTTATAATTGACCCTGCCTCTTTCGGGTCATTCACACGTGATCAACGCCGTTCTTCCGGCTCCGTGACCGCACTTTGTGCGTGCGTGTTCTTGGCGTGTTATTGCTTTTGAGTTTGCTTTTGCCCATTGCCCGACCTTCCTCGACGCTCACTTCCGAGGAATTGGGGAGAGCGTCGAGTATTACGAGTATGAAGCTGATTCAAATTCTCAAGTCGTTTCAGATCTTGGAGACAAGGGTCAGGGCTGATTTTTTTTCTTCTTCCTCGTTTCCTTATCACCACACAGGTACTCCTCCAAACCCCATTTCCTCATTAATCTCTCCCTTCAGAAGTCTTCACTTCATGAACGTTCGACATTTCATCTCTCTGACAGAATCGCGATAACTTATCAGCCAAGTCTGCTAAGCCTTCTTATACCCACTCTAACGCAATTTTCTTGTCGTTTTGCCCTTACTATTGATCCCGGGTCATGATCAAGCTTCCAAGGACCAAGGGACCAAGATTTTTAAAAAACATGTGGGATTGATCGCCGGCGTCCCTTCCGACCCCCCGAGTTTGTTACTTCGCTCCCCTTCGACCATCGTAATCAAGGTTGACCGTACCAGAGGGACGAATCAATAAAAGTGAGTCGTCATTTCAATCAAGACTCACCTCAGCAGACCTCAGCTCACCTCTCAAGTTTAACGTCAACTCTCTCACACTCACGATCGTATCAAAGCACAAGAAAGGCACCCGGGGCCTAAGCAACCCTCTAAAGTTCTTGTGTCTTATCAAACTTTCACCACGCTCCTTAGCCTAAGCTTCTTAGCACTACCGTTAACCTTCGCCACATCCTTGGCAAGCATGCATCCTCCTCTTTGAACTTTCACAGTTAACACGTTCCACGAGACGAGGGGACGAAACCTAAAGACTGAACGGAATAATCACCTCTGAATTCTGAAGTCGCCGGGTACCGAGCCGGAAGTACCCTGGAACTTGAAGGAAACAAAACACCGACCCCCAGCTCCACTCATGCATGACCACTAACGGGCATTAAATATTCACCCCTTCCCCACGACGAATTTACGTCCGGCGTTCATTTCAATTTTCATGCAAGCAAGCTTTACCTGTTTTAGGCGCTCTGCATACGCGCTTCCGTACCTCGTACTAGGAAACGTCAAGTGATGATGGGGTGCTACTACGGAGGGCTATGGGCTTGTCTTGGCGGTAAGTGTTTTATCTCAAGAGTTTTAACACTGAAAGGTCGAAGATGCCACGATGAAACTAGGGTAAGTTACCCCTCCCTACCACCTTCACCCACCAAAACCATTTTCGCTGCTTTTCCAAAAAGGCTGGGTCACATCATGCATACCATTGATCATCGAGCCGAGCTTATTTCACGGTCGCCGTCCTTGAAGCTTCAAGTTAACAAATTGGAGGTACGTATTTCATCCATCTAGACACACCCGCGTATAAAAACAAAGTTAGATGATCGCATTTCCCGTATTTCTTCGATTTGGATGAATGAACTTCGACGGGGCACCGTCCACGCGTGTTCAATACTCAGCGTCTGACAGGGATCGGGGGCGTTATTTTCTGGCTATGATGAGGCTCTCTATCGTGATTCAAAGTCATAAAATATTGTGTTTAGAGACGACGTCGTGCCACAGAGGTTTTACCTTATGTCGCTCCCGGAACCCTTCCTATTATCATCGCAAAACTCAAGTAAAGTCAATCACACGCGCGTTGTCTGTCTGTCCACCCCAGGTATCCGACTCCAAGCGTAAACGTCTCAGGCCCCGGTTCCCTTTTTTTCATTATCAGGGTAAAGCTCAAGTCAACCAGCCGTGAGTGAACTGCGTATCGTTGCTGGGGTGAGGTATTTGAGCTTGAACGTTGACGTCTCGGCTTCCAGACAGGCATCATCAATAATTATCGACGGCTCATTCATGGATGGCTCTGTTGCTTGGCGTCCACTCGCACCTTGAGGGAAATTATGGCAGCATGCTCCCTCGCTCCGGTCACCAACAGCTAAACTTGAATAAGGATGGTTTCGCATAAAAGGCAGGGTACCCACCTTCTAATTCCAAATGATCGCCCTCAATTAATAATGCGCGCACTTGGGGGACTCCGAGTCTCTTCCGGGATCGAGGATAATGATCAATGATAATCACTTTAGGCGAGATTATAGACGGCTACAGGATGGGTGGCCTACTACCTGGCAAGACTCCCTCCCACGTCGATGACTCACGCCTGGGGAAAAAGCATGGCGGGCATGAACTATTTGCTACACGCTTTCATTCCCTCGGTTTTCGAGCGGGCCCTCCTTCATGTCTACTTGCTGGAAGCTAAGTAATACACGGTGCCTTTCATGCTTAACCTTCAACCGGCTTCTGACTTTATAACCCCCTTCAAGTATCCCCCTCGGACGAGAAGCCCATCGAAGGTCATGAATTATTCTCGACTAATACACTTACGCTGTGTTACATCCTCAGCATTCGAGTTGGAGCTTCGGATTCTTGAGCTTGCATATTCAAACACCTGATACATAACACCTGATGACGCTTATCGTCGTCTATTATACTTAACCTTTGAGCTAGCAGTAAAAGTATCGCGCTCATAAATTTACCTTCAGTCGCCGGCACCTGGATTTCTTCACGTCAACTTTTTCCGTGTGATATATAACATTACAAGTTGTTGCCTTCACACTCCAGTATGGTGTAACGGCTAACATTACTGCCTTTCACGCAGTAGCTCGGGGTTCGATTCCCCGTACTGGAAATGAAGAATAGCCCAAATAACTTTTTTGATAATTTGACACTACATGTCTTTGTCCCTCCCATGCCCCCGAGATTGAACGACAGCATGACAAGATCATGATGCTCGAGGTGATTTTTCAGGGTTGGACTTGCGTGAATGAGAGCAAGGGAAACTTCCAAGAAACTTCGACTTTTTGCTTTTTCTGTCAAATTGGGCAACGACTCTTCGCTTTAACAAATTCGGGTACTTTGTTTACAGTGAAGGAGGTGGAACTCAACGTGAAGCATGGCGTTAATACATCGCGTCAGATGAAATCGAGCAGACGTAAAAGCAAAAAGCGAGGCAACGCGTTGGCCGATATTCATCGTCATTTGGTACCTTAGCGTGACCTAAACCGCTACCGCGGAAAGCCTATCACACCAAACAGTTTTCCCAGAATCGTGCGCAGAAACCGTACAGCGGCCGAGGTAATCTCCCGGTCCTAATTACGCACCACATATTGGTAAATGATAGTCACCCACCTCCGTGGAATCCTCCTTGCCTCGTAATGGACTTGAGAAATGAAAGGTTCATTAAGCTCACGGCTGCGTCATTTTATCCTGGAAATTGCGCAATGGTGCCAGCCCTCCGGCATATTTTCATCTTCCTCTATCAAATCTGGAATCCCTGTCATGACATGGAGGAAATGGTTCAAGCTATCAAGGCAGAGAGGCACTGGTCAGGCTCGCACTCATAGGCCGCAAGGAGAGGTACTCCGTTATCAGCACACTGACTTCGCAGGAATATATTTACTTCAAAGGCTCTTGAAATCATACACAGAAGAAACAAGGTAGACGAGCACGAATAACGTATGCATTTCACTCCTCGTCCGAATCCTTCTCAACAAACACATCAAATTCCCGATTCTTCAACGTCGCAGAAGAAAGATAATATTGATCCTCGACCTTTTGAATGCCGACAGAATCTCCAGTGAGCCAAGAGCTAGTCGCCAGAATGTAAATCATCTGCCGGTCGTCATGACCAAGAGGTACGTTCCGATCCACTTCAAAGTCCTGCCAAGCATGAAAAAACAGCGCCAATAGACCGCCTGTAATGACCATTCCCAAATTCGGATATTCATAGATGAACAACAGAAGAGACGCCAGGAAAGTCATCGAGTATTGCATTCCACACTTGGCAAAGTGGGCGAAGCGATAGATGCCTTTTGATGGCTCGAGAAAGCCAGTTTCGAAGATGACGAGCTCTAGATGGTGGGGAAAGAGGAAGAGCGTGGCTCCGGCTGCTACGCACCAGGGTAGGAAGAAAATTACACGGATTGCAGACATGGCGACGGCGTGGAAAACGAAATCGGGGTATCTAGGTTCGTAGTGATCGGAAAGAACGGAGGAAGGAGTTACTTTGGGATCAATGTTAGGCTCTAAGCCTGTGGGGTATGCGTCGTCGACGGTGAGCTAACAGAGGTTTGTAAGCGGCGCATATAGTCGATGAAAGTGATCAAACCTGATTTTGGGAGTCGGTGGAAAGGCTCTCCACCAAAATGGGTCCGTTCGGCAGGGTATAGATGGTCTGTGAAGAGTGTTTTGGTCAATATTACTCGAAAAGAGGACGTAATTTACCGCCGCCGGTTGGGTATCGATATCGGGAGAAGAGAAGTATGGTGAACTGGTATCGTCCTGGCTGATGTATCCGGAAGAGAAAGCACGCGGTAAAAGATCACCAGACTATACCGACCTGACCTGTAAGCGCTAAAATAAAACCTGGGAACTCGACTCGCCTCGCTCGGCTGGGGGACAGTGGTGCTGCCTTCTAAATCCAATGCGGGAGGTTCCACGCGGTCCTCCTTGTGAGATGAAGTCAGGAAACTACCTCCAAAAGTGAATAACCCGGACCTCATTCGAATCCCCAAGCATAGCACCCGGCTCTTGGTATAGCGAGGGAGGAGAAGGCGCGCGGCTTGTAATGTCTTCCAGGACCAATTGCGACGACGTCTCCGAGGATGGCGTTGTGTCTGGGGCTAACGTCGCCTGCGGGGCCAACATCGCTTCCGGGACCAACGTCGTCGCCACCAGTTCCAACATTGCGTCTGGGGCTATCTGATGGATGGCTGTGAAACGCTTCCGAAATTTGAAGAAACATGAAACAAACCTCAACCTCAACTACCCTTCGTTCCTCTAATTGCTGCGATACCTGCGCGATATCCGCGCCTTTGCCTACAGCCTTTGAACCAAAGTACGAGTCTACCGCTGAGCCGTCCATATCTCTCTCAAGAGCCTCGTGTATGCCCTGGTAGACATTGATGGGCACATCTTGATCCACAGGCGTCGTCAAAGCTGAGGTAAACGGCGAATCGTCGGTCGTCTCTGAGTTGTTTCGCTCCATCTCCGTCAGCTCGACGAGACGGTCCTGCAGCACTATGGAGTGAGTGATCTCGTAGCTGGGCGAAATGGCGCTTACCTCCTGTATCGTATCAACATTGTTCGTCGTCTTTGTCATTGCCGGCGGAGATGATGATGGTAAGAGAAGAAGAGCTGTCACGCGTGACCGCGCGACCAAGAATATGCTTCTGCTCACGAACAAATTGATTCCTCATTCATCGCATTCGGCCTCAGTGTCCTGGCAGAAAATCAGTTTCCTCGTAAAGATTTGCGAGGGACTACCTCTCCGCTCAATAAAGCTTAAAACCAGAAGGCACTTGCGTCATGGCGCCCGCTCCCGAGATAAGCAACTTGGCGGCGTCCACGGCGCACACTCGTCGAAAAATGCACAGGTAAGTATCTTTCCGTAATGTGGTCATGATCAATCTTCGGAAAGATAAACATCTCATCCCAGATTTCTATCGCCCGACAGCCCTGAATAAGATGGATATAAAAACCCACTTCTTCTTATGCGGTACTCATCTCTAGCATATACTTACTGTCCCGTAGTACGTCCCTTGACATCCCACCTTTGATCCTCCACTCACGATCAGACCCCAATCAGTAAAGTACAACCATGAAACTCTTCTCAATCGCCATCGGGCTCATCGCCACGCTCTACACCACGACTCCTGCAGAAGCCATCAAGGAAGTCTGCAGCAACGCCTGCGAATCACCAATCCCGTTCTGCATCCAGGGATACACTGCGACGCGTTTCAACGTTAATACTCCCGACGAATGCTGGCGATGCTGCAAGGCTATTCCGGATGAATTTGGGTGTTACGGTACATACTACTTCTTTCTATCGACGACCAGAACGCTAATTTGGCTGTACCACAGATGTCTAGATCTGAGGAAATAGTCCTTCCTGTCCTTCTGTCCACAATCAGCGCCTCTTTGAATTGTTTTGTTTTCTGAATCTACATCATGAATGTACGTTCATCGAAAATTCACAACTAGGCACTGGCAAGAAAATACACACTCCCATTACTGTTAAATGAAGGCGCTCACTGCTAAGTCGTCTTCGCATCGCGCCTCAAGTTGTCCTTGCGTTGGTGTCAAAGTACCGGTACGATTCCCGTTTAAATTCTGAAAAACTGCATTAAATGACCCCTTCGCTTAGGACTTGGAAAGGCAAGTCCTCGCTGGCAGTCATCACGATCATCGATCACCTACCGCACCTGATGGAACCGACGTCTTCAGATTCTCAGTACGGGAAGGCGTCCATTATAATTTATTGAACAGCTCACAATTTCCGAGCTTCTCCCGAACCCTCCGCCGATCATGGTTGTCTCATTTACTTGATGCTGCCCTAGTTGTCCGATGTACACGAAATGCACCGGGGGGTCGAAATGTTTACAACAAAAGTATCATGTATGTTTCAACAGATAGCGCTGTGCTTGGCACTGCTCCGCTTAACAAACGTTCTTACCGGTTGACTACGGCTTTTAACATACAGCCAAACGGTCCGAGCCACTCACCGCCAGGCCAAAGCGCCGCGAAAAAAATGCGCAGTTTCACTAAGTACATACAGACTTTTGAACGCCAGAGCATTGTTGCTGCTGTCGCGGTTGTCATCTGTTTGGCACCGACAGTGGCGAGAAAGTGAATTTGTGCAAACGTACATGGCATCGAAATTGACCTCGTGTTGTATGGAAACACAGATTGCCGAAATTCTTGAGAGTCATGTGCGGTAGAAATATCGAAATCGACTAGATCAGGCTACTATTGTTGATTGACTGCGTGAGCAGCGGATGAGGATAAACGACTATGGAGAAGGCCTGTTGGATTTCAAAAGTTCCATCAAGGATAGGGGCATAAGTTTCAGAATAGCCCAGTCAGGCTGCTAATGCGATCGCATGTATTTAACGAAAGATTGTGTTCCCAGAGGTTCTCATAATTCCTGCTTTGCCCAGCGTCGAAGAACATCTCTCCGAAATGGACTTTGGTTCCCCCTTGACCCAACCTTGACCGATATTGGAAGTGACACCGACGACGATCACGTAGTGTTGCCGCGAAGCGAATCGAATCGAATCGAAGTGGGGAAGTGTGCTGACTTCGACTTACTTCGTGCTGTCGAATCGAATCGAAGCGAAGTCGGACATCACCGGAAGTTGATCAGCCAATCAGATCACTGGATCCTCAAGCCTCAGCCGCACGAGTATCTAGACTACAGAACACAATAAAAAGTGCTATATATCCGAAGTACTGTCATCTTCTGAGTTCTGTATCAGTTCACAAGCGGGGTCATCGTATTCGCCTTGCGCTTCTTGTGCGCACGCGTGGCTGTGCCAGAGTTTGTTGGTGCAGAACACTTGTTTTGAGCACGAGCGGTGGAAGAAGTGGGCTCTGGAGCATTAAGAACAGTCGAACGAGTATTTTGTAGGGGTAGCGAACAGGGTGTCATGTATGCTGTGGGATGAAAAAAGCTTATGCATCGGGATTCCATTAAATGGGTGGGGATTAGAATATTGGCCATGGAAAGTGTTATAATAGATTGGTGTAGAAGTCTGATGGTCTGAGGACGACAAAAACAAGTTGTTAGTGGGATAGGATTTGTCGGCTTGAAGTGGGTTTTGAACGAAGGGGTCTAGCTCCAGCGGCGAGTGACTGTTCCAAGATGGGTGGCAGGAATGAGTAGAAAGAGGCGTATGAACATGACTAGGTGCCTCCCAGCCTGAGGAATACGAAGCTGGTAAATCCATAATGGATGAAAATGAGGGATTGGACAGCTATATTGCATTTGCAACTATGTGCCGCTTTTATATTCATTGGGAAGGAGAAAAAAGATCGTATGGTTTAGAAATTTAAAAAAATGGTGCCTATAATTCAGGAATATACGTAGTCATGTGGTACAATTATTTGATGGGAAGTGGAAAGTAAGGATGGAGGGAGGGGAAAGAGGTAGGTAGGAGACGCGACGGAGGATGCGACACTAAACATCTGGAAACGCGTTTTCGTGGTGTAGAACTCACGTGGCTATGTATGTCTGTGTAGCCACCAGATTTTATGGACCTCTATGTAGCTCGGGTAGCCCTGTACATCGCGTAGAGTTCTAAAAAAATCAAGGTACTCAACGTATTTCAAAGGGAGCCCACTGATAGTGATGACCATGGAGACAACAAGATTGATATCAGGAGATCAATCGATCACGTCTAAAAGGTTTGCTTATGCATGCCAAAGTACTAAGAATGATGCATTTTCGAGCCTACTTTGAATAGACAAAAACTATGGGTATCACTATATGGGCTAGGGAAGAAAGCCAGACATTCCTCTGCGACGTTATCTGATGCCCAAGAGTTTGGCTTCCTCCTACCATACTTGGGCATGAGATGACAGTTCCGTACAATCCTATCCACCTCGATGATCTCCGCGTAAGGATGATGGTTGCGGGTCGAGGGTTTGACAGTATGTAGGCCCGTAACTGGATCCTGAGTGCCGAAGGGGGTGAACCATTCCACGTAGGCCAGGGGATGAGCCGTTCGGACACGATACAGCGCGGGCAACTTGAAGATCACGCGAATGCGTGCGATCCTAAGTCCTGGACATGGTCAACTGATAAGTAAAGATGAAATAATCAATGAAATGGACACCTTACCTTGAAGCGACGTGCCTTCCGTTTTCTCGTTACGTTCCCCAGTTCGTACCAGAGCGAAGTCCATATGTGCGACTTCAGCTGATCGACGGCCGCGTGCGGGAACAGGCGGCGTTGCTCGAACAACGTTTTTAAGACTGTTAGAACTGGCTTGAGGGATTTCTGGGAGAGTGAACGAGAGGCGTTTGAAGAGGTCGAAGCCGTCAAAGGGTCGCGGGATGATAGGACATCTGGCACTAGCCAGATATGTTTGTAGTGCCTCGAGGAACCTGGATGCCTTGTGATCTTCAATAATTTTGCTGGCCTGGATGCCTCGAAGAGCAGCTGGGTGGTGCAATGCAACAGAGTATGCATTTACGGCAGGAGATGGGATGCTGGCGGAAGTGGGAGCTGCTTTGGAGATAACGATGGCCTCGTCATCATCGCCGCCGTCGTCGTTTGGGTTTCCGGTGCTGGAGGTGGGTGGGAGGTGAGAGGTGTCTTCGTCAATCTTGTAGGAGCCATTCCGTGCCCACTTGAGGTACAGGGTGAATCGGTCTATGGCTTCCTGACGACGAAGCCATATCGTCATTTGTACTGTGTAGTCCTTCTTGTTCGACGCTCGATAGGCGTTCTTAGCGTAGTCGATGTGGAGTCGTTCGGGCGATTCGGTGTTGAAGCCGTCTGCACTGCCAAACATCCTGATGAGGGCGACGTAATGTTGCATTGAGTGGATTTTCGGGATGTTGAAGTGGCCTGGACTGCGCGCCTCAAGCTCAATGAAAACGTCTTTGTACCGATGAAAGTCGTCGAGGCACTGAGCCATTGCATCGAGTGTTGTGCTGGTGTGAGATTGCAGGGACGCGTAGAAAATGAAGTTGATGATGGATCGTACTGCGTGCATGACACGATCCTCCACTACTCCTGCCAATATCCCGACAAACACTCTCTCCATTGCCTTGTGCTCAGCCCCGGTCCACTGCGAGACAGACGAAATGCCATTCTTGAAGTGTCGAAGGCCTTGGTGAGAAGTCATAGACTTGAATCGTGCGTCCAACTCCTTTTCTCCCACGAGCGCTGTACACCATTTGACGAGATGATCCTTAAAGACTCCTTTGTGCAACTGATGAAGGAGATCTGGTGTGAAAGACTGGAAGACTTCGTAGTGCGGGAGGTGAGCCCAGAAAGGTGGGTAGATAGGACGAAGGCCAAAGTCTTGGTACTGATTTTTGAAGATGGTCTCGTTACAGTTGCTGGCCTGCTTGGACAACAAGTCAAGGGTTTCGGATTTCTCGCGTGGGGCGCAGGGCTCGTTCGACCCACGGGAAGTGGGCGCAACCTTGCAGATTGGACACCGATTTTCCATGCAGCACGCCACCAAACACTGCTCCGGATAATCGGCAACATATGCGGCGACGATTGGCCATACCCAGCGAACTTGGCCGTCTGCACAGGTCATATCCTCTCCGCATTTCCCAGCGCTGGCCAGCGACTTCGTTAAGACAGTCATGCAATGGTGGAACGTCCGGTACCGCACTGCTTGGCGCGCGCTTTCCGTGAAGCAGTCGAATTTGCCAACGGGTAAGTAGCCAACAAGCACAGTCGCGTGTGAGCTTGCCTGACGTCGAATGTCTTTAGAGATGTTGCCAATCGTCAGGTATACAGGCCAGGCGCTTTTATCACCCCGAAACTGCGACAACCTTGTTTTGTCAGACGAAACTATGACAGGTGCGATGGTTGCCCCCTTTGGCAGAAGTTTCTAATATTTATGTTTTAGTTTGCATAGCATCTTTGCATTGGCCCTCACCTGCAGCTTCCACCACCATGCCCCAGTCCACATCTCATTGACGACCTCCACGTTTCCCTGTGAATCCTCGTACAACCGCTCTGGCGCATATTTCATGACATCGCGAAAGACTGGGTTGCCCAGTAGCTCTCGGATGCATTCCACTGGGTCGCGATACCAGAGTTCCAAATCCTCCGTCAGGGCGTTACCATTCTCATCTACGATGTCACCAGTCAAACAGACATTCTCGAGCTTCCAGCTCACCCCACCAGGCAACGTGTCGATGACATCAAGAAGTTTGTCTTTCGTTGAAAATGTCGGCTGGACACGCTCCTGGATCTAGTCAATCAACACCTTGGTTAGTTTCTTTCTCAATCTGTGAACTTTTCTAACTTACAATCGGCATCTTTAGAAATTCATCAGTCTGGTTATGGCCCACATTCTTAATCAACCATTTGGCCAGCTGCCATTCCTCATCGCTTTCAACGGCCCCAGGATCTCGG